GTATGGAGCGTATCTGCAAGGATAAAGTAGTAAAGAAAGTTTGAAGAAAGGACTATCAATTGTAAGTAAACAGAATAGATTTTTGTTAGCAAGAGAGGCGTCCCAAGATACGAGCTACGTCAAAATCAGACAAGTAAAGAAATTTACCGCTTTCAGAAATATTATAACAAAAGAAAATATGTCACAGAAATCAAAAAAAAAAAAAGTATTGGAATAGTGAATTTTGTGACATAGTAGTTGTGAGTTCAATCTCTGGGTTGGGAATTGTGTACTTGCATTCAGTAAAATCAGGCGAGCAATAACCGAACAGTACTACACAGCTGTAATTGTGTAGCGATTTTTATATTTTTTCAGTGTAATATCCTAAAATAACTCCAAAGTTGTTCTTTTCCTCTTATTCCCATCATCTTTTGAACGAATACAAGCCGTTAAGGGGAAATAAGCAATTATCGAAATTAAATTTCCTGAAAAACAGAAATTTCAAATCATTTACATATCATCCAAATAGTTCAAATATACACATCAAAATCTTGTCCGGATATGCGGGATTTCGGATATGAGACACTCCGGATATGAGGGATTCCGAATATGAGGGGTTCTGGATATGAGGGGTTTTACTGTACACACACACACACACACACACACACACACACACACACACACACACACACATATTCATGCTGGGATTTTTCCTTCGCCAGTAAGATAGTCCACTTCCCGGTCTAATATGACTCAGTTCCGGTCTTGACTTAACGACAGAAAGCTGTTCGTGTTTCCCCTTTTGTGTGATAATTTGTTCCCTTATCAAAGTTGCTTTACTTACTTTTGCCTTGCATATATTGTTTGTTTGCTTAATATTATTTTTGCCCTTTCCATTTCTTTCTCTTGTTATTGTTTATTGCAAACTTCTCAGTTCTCTTTCAATTTCTTTCAATTGGTCATTTCTTCCAATTGCATTTAACCATGGCCACTTACTCTGCACACACACACACACACACACACACACACACATATATATATATATAATTATTTATTTAAAAATATGATTCCATCACTACATAATATTTTTTTCGCTTGAAGATGGAACAGAGCTTGGTATTTTAATTCAATTTAATTCAAATAATTATATTGAAGTTTTCGGCACTTGTTTTGAAACATGAGAACTCTTATGTAGCGATGGAATCATATTTTTAAATAAATAATTATATTTATGCTCTACTTTTGTATCGAGCACTATTTTTTAAAAATAATAACTAAAATACTAAAGAACTTTGGATTATTTACCTAACGAGTTCTTTCCTATTTTCTATATATTTTTACACACACACACACACACACACACACACACACACACACACACACACACACACACACACACACATGCACACACTCACACACACACACACACACACACACACACATATATATATATATATTGAGACATGTTTCAATGGATAATAGACAACTTTTGTCTACTTATTTTCAGTTGTATCCGTTCATATTCACAGACAATTTTTTGGTGCCATTATTGAAAGACGAGAGAACATCGCTGTGTTGATACATATTATTTATTCCGTGTGCTTTCGACATAGCATAATGTCATCATCAGGGTGTTGTTTATTGAAAGACAAATACTGTCATGTTCATTATTTTTGAAGCCAAAATTGTTGTGTTCATCTTAAAGTTATTTTTTTTTACTTGTGGAGTGAAGAACACTGAGTCAGTGCGTGATCACTTGACACCGTTCAGGGGAGGTAACTACGTTTGGTTGTGGAGAGTCTTTACGAAATATGTAATCAAAAACTATAACTGCAAACCATGATATATTAAAACTATCTATTGTATACATTTTAAAACATTTGTTTAGTATTCGTAATTAATTTTATTAGGGTTTGGTTTCAATTTTTAATATAGATTTTTTTAAAAGCATTTCACCCCTACCAAGGCGGGAAGCCACTAGTACGCAATGGGTTATAGAGGATTTGGAGCGAGGGCAGATAGGAATGATAGAGGAAAGGATGAGGAGAAGGATAGTGGATAGATCAAGTCAACTGGAGATGTCGATTGACATTACATTTGAATAGTTTGAGATTATAGCTATCAGGGAAACAGGAATAGGGAAGGGAGTTCCACAGGCGAGAGGTGCGAGATATGAAGCTATTGGAGTAGAAGAGGCGGCTACATTTAACAGTCTCAACAGTGACAGGGTGAGAGCGGGATGCCAGCCTCGTAGGACGCTTGAATTCGCGAAGTCTGGGAACCAGCGAAAGCAGTTCATCGGAGCGATTACCATGAAAGTATTTGTGAAAAAAAAAAAAAAAACAGAGAGAGGCGATGGCACGTCTGTGAGAGAGCGACTGTAGACGAGATGCCAGATCAGGGCCAATTATATTGCATATCTGTCTCTGGATGTTATCAAGAAGATAACTTCGGGAAGTTTTAGTTTATGTTTATTCTTAGTATAAATAACAGGCGGCCTGACATCAAGAAACGGAAATGGGGATGAACCGGCCACACAACTCGCAAGCCTGCTTCTAGTATCACCAGGCAGGCCCTTGAATGGAATCCACAAGAGAATCGAAAAGTGGGTCGACTTGGCTTGGCTTGGTGTAGAATTGTTGATGCAAAAGTGAAGGCAGTCGGTAAGACATGGGGCCAGCTGAAGAGGATCGCCCGTTCCGATGGAGACGTGTTTCTATGGCTCTATGTTCCCAAGGAATCAAGAGGCCTAATATATATATATATATATATATATATATATATAAAGCAATTAATGGATATTATATATATATATATATATATATATATATATATATATATAGGCAGCATTTTTTATTCTTTATTAATGCATGTTTCAGCAAATAATATAGACAAGTTTTGTATATTTATTTTAAGTAAGTTCTTTCATATTGTCTGATAAGCTTCATGACATTATCATTGAAAGATGAAAGGAAATCACCATATTGATACATGTTTAAATCCAATCTATGCTTTCGGCTTACATAAGCCATTATCAAAGATGACAATTACTTTTCAATACATCAACCAATACACGGACGAAACAATAATGACAGGCAGTTTTTTCTTGCATGAAAAATTTCAAAGCAACGACTAATTCGTGTATACGAGACACGGAAGCGAAAATCACGTCGCGGCTCGTGACGTCACACATGACCACGCGAGAGTGAAAACGAAAAGTATTATGTATGGGAAGACGTTGGTATTTAAAACAACATGCCTGGCCGCTTACACAATTCCTGAAAATCCTTGTTGAAAACACAGCTATACTTAAACATGAAAACAAAAACAAAAACTAAAAATTCTTGAAGCTATATACATAAAACAGTTGAAATCTAACATGAGCAAAATAAACTACGAAATCTCCACAACTATTCTTAAATGCCTATAATTTCCAATGGTGTTCTTTGTCTATGATGTCAACCTGATCCCACAGAGGGCGGTGATCTTCCTTCTCCCTCCATACGTGGTCAGCTACGCCTGATTTTTTCACTTTCCCTCGTGTTACAACTTTCTAGTGTTCTTGAAGCCTTACCTTGGGGGGGCTGTCTCCCCTTTATATTTATTTCCACAGTTGCACGGGATAGCGTACACACAGTCTTTAGTCATGTTCTCCTCTATGGGGGGTCTTACTCGGGAGAGGTTTCTGCGAATTGTTGTCAAGCTTTTAAAGGTTGTCCTGATATTATATGGACCGCAGATTATTTGTATTTTCTCTGATAATCCCTTCACATAAGACAAGCAGACTGTTTTCTGGAAAATTCGTAAACTTAAGGAATCAGCACATATGCTAGGCCACAAAAATCTCTTGAGTCGACCAAGCATAGAAATGAATACAATATGGGAACCAGTAATAAGGAGTGCCAGAGAAAAGCAATGATAACAACAAAAATTGCAATATGAGCTCTGGTAAAACATCCAATGATAACAGCAAAGATTGCAATATGAGCACTGGTAAAAATGGTTGCTGAAGACATTAGGTTTATAATACCCAGAGATTCATACACATATGTCCTCAAGAACGCATGACACATTGGATAAAGGTGTTAGTTAGATCCAGTGACAAAACCCAAAGAGTTTGAGTTCAATACCCGGCTAAGTGAAGAACTTTTAGAGGGAAAATTAACAGGAGATAACTGATAACTGACATCCATTAAACATGGCACGTGGAACTAGAACATTCTACCCCAGTGAGAGAAATAAAGGGTTCAGTTCGACATTCCAACCACCTGAAGAAGGCCGGAGCGTACAACGGCCGAAACTTTGACAAAGATGAGGACAATAGTCCGAATAATATAAATAATGTACATAATAGAAATATAGACAGATACCGTAATTCAATTAGTTTAACGTTTTTGGGTGGACTATTTTATTGTTACACCTGGTATATACGCGTACGTAAATGTATTCGGTCTCTTGATTATTTTTCTTATTTTTTCTAATTAACCATTACAAATTTTATTTGATGGCTCTCCACAACCTACCTTTTGTACTTGTTATCAATCCCTCCAATTCATTTTTATTCAATCCACTTTCTCTTTAACCACTAAGTAGGTTATTGACTGTCTCTCTCCGTTCCTTCCGCGATCAATATGCCACGCGAGTGTCAAATTCTCCGAGTACTCTTTTCTCATTTTTTTTACGGCATGTTTAGATTGTAGCGGTGAAGACGAAATTCTGACTCTTGCAAAGCCAGGCAACCGTGATTGTAAATTAATTCTGTGCATAATTTTTCTAGGTTATTGTAATGTTTCATCTTAAAAGTATCTCTCAGATCAAGCCTTTTATTAGAATTACAATGTGCAAAGGTTAAAGTATTTTTGAGATTGCTAATTGATTACTTTTTATCAAGGTGAGATTGACTTTCCTTTCGTTGTTTTGCAAGCACAGGTGTTTGGCACTAAAATGTGGCGGTGTATTGCAATCTAAAGTAATTAGTGATTGAATTTTGATTTGAGGTTGAAAATATTGGTATGTGACAG